GGGGATTGACTATGCTCCGACCCTCTAAAGCTGTCTCAGAACTCTGCCGCATGCTGCAGGCTGAAGTTGAGCATCTCTCGCGTTCAGGAGCCGATGATGGCTTTCAGAAGGAGGATGCGGAAAATAAGAGGCAGAAGCTTCAGAAGGTTCAGACGCCCAGCACGCCTAAGGCTCCTTCTCCGTCGCATCCCACCCCAAAGGCCTCTGGTGCCAAGCCCTGTAAGAACTGGTTGACGGCCGGGGGATGCTCTTATGGTAGCTCGTGTCAGTTTTATCATGATCAGAGCGAGGAGAAGATGAAGGGCCGATGCTTTAGCTGCAGTGCTGAGGATCACTGGGCCGATACCTGCCCGGTGAGGGCCAGGCTCAAGGCGGAGGCGACAGCTGCAATGGAGGATCCCTCTTCTGGAAACCCTAAGAGCCCTGAGACTTCTCCCGATAATTCTCCTAAGGGAAAGGGCAAGGGTAAGCAAGAAGGAAAGGGAAAAGGGGATAAGACTGGGGCTAAGCCAAAGGTCCGTGCTACAGATCCCCAGAAGCCTTCTGGAGGTGCCGAGGAGCAGCCGTGCGACACAGCCCCGAGAATAGCACCGCTGCTATCAATGCTGAGATCTTGAATGTGCTGAGGTCTATCAAGACTAAGAGCTTTCGGGCGCGGGTTGTTAATGATGAGACGGGGTATGCCTTGCTGGATTCAGGTGCGTCTGCCGCCCTCCGACAGGGAACCGAGCAGGAAATAGAAAGCGCGATACCAGTGACGGTGTCGCTTGCAGTGGGAGAGATGGTTATGTTCCGCAATGACTCAGGGACTTTGCTCGTCAGGGAACCGGTGCTACCCATAGTTACCATAGTTCCTATGAGTGCCCTCCCACTTCTCGGCCGTGAGATATCCTGGTCTGATCGCGGCTGCTACGTCCGCCACCCCTCGCAAGGCCTCCTTCCTGTGAGACTCCGTGATGGGACTCCGGAGCTCCCTGCTCTCATGGTTTTATGGTTTTGAGGCTGATTGCCGAATATGAGCGGTTCTTGCTCCGCCACCAAGCTACCCGGAACACTTCTGAAAGGATGTGGCAGCATGCCTTTGGTCAGGCTGAAGTCAGCCTATCTTCGTTGAAGGAGTGGCTGGGCAAGCACTTGCGCAGTGACTCCTGCGGTGAGCTTGAGCTGCAAACGGTTGCAACGGTTCTGTTCCCAGACCTCCCCGAGGCTCTCGCTTCACAGGTGGCAGCGTGCCCTAGCTTTGACCCCTCCTTTGTTCCTTTTAACCGTCGAACCAGGAGGCAGCTCTTTGATCCTCAGGTTCCCACTTTGGTACATCTGTTCGCAGGCCAGCATCGTTGGAGAAATTCAATGGGACAGGTTCTTGAGGTGGATACACCTAAGGGTGCGGACCTTCTGTCTGATGATGTTTTCGGGATGTTGCTTCGTGCAGCCACTTTGGGTGTCATAGATGGGGTTGTGATAGCCCCTCACTGCAGGACCTTTGATCCAGATGCCTCGGCCCCAACCTCTAATGGCTTAAGCTTCCGGGGGGATGAAGGCGAGGAAAGGTTGGGCTGCCAAGGCTTAAGCCATGCCGACCGATCTTTGGTTGATAGGGACACTCTGTTGTTCCTGAGGTCTCTGCTGTTGGCCTTTGTGGTCTCCTGTGCAAAGGAGAAAGTCTTCACTTGTTTGGAGATGCCCGAGAGCTCCACCGCTTGGGGGTGGCCTGGGTGCGAGAATGTTTCGGTGTGCCTAGGTGGTTGGACTGCAAGCTTCGATCAGGGCACCTTGGGTCACCCGTGCTCCAAGGCCAGTGCTGTGTACACCAGCAGCTTCCAGCTGTATGAGTCACTCCATGAGATGAAGCATCCTCCGGAAGCGGTCACCAATTTGACCTCTGATTTTAGTGGTAAAGGATGGGCACCGGGTTGCTGATGCGGATCAGGGGGGTCAGCAACAGCCGTGGGTTGAGTTCCAGGCTTTCGGGATTCATGGAAAATCTTCAAAGGCAATCTCAACAACATGACATTTGACAGAACACATGCAGAACAATTACGCTATGTGCTAGTGTTCTTTGTATATAAACGAAAGGAAACGTCACATTATACATAAAGGTCCATGCCACATACTCCTATACCCTAAGGCCCTCAGTTGCTCACAGAGTGTCTGGGTCAGGTTTGAGGGGTGTATGGGGGCTTAGGATCGCGGGGTTTAGGGATTGACGCGAGGGTCCGCGACGGTCCATGTACCTATCAAGTATATATAAGTTGGGCTTGCAAGAAACTCCTGTATTGGTACCGGCAAAGTATATATCATATCGGCACAGGGATCTTTAGGGATACGGGTTACGCGCAAATGAACATCTCTGGCCACCCATATGGACACCTTTATGGTCTCGGGCTTAGGTGAAGCATTGGTTTAACATACTGCGCCTTGAGCACCACCTAAATCCTAAAATGCAGTACCTGCTTTAGCTACGTACACTCTAGTATTACAGGATCCTAACCATAAAATCCAAAATTAACATAGGAACACTGCATTCTAGGGTCCAGATAGTGAGAAGCTGGTCGCCTAATTAGGTGGGAACGTCAGAAGGTAAGGGACGCTGCAACATAGACTCAAAACAATGACATCCTTGTTCTAAGGAGCCCTAAACAGAGAGACAGGGAATCCCTATTTCCAATACCGCAGGCCCTACACCCTTGAGACTCTAAACCCCGAACCCCCTAAACCCTAAACCCCGAACCAGAAATGCGCTGAAGCCCTACAAACCTGAAGAGACCGTTTAGGGTTTAAGGTTTAGGGTTGCCCTAGACCCTAAACCATAGCCTGATCACTACAAGCCATCTCGAACCCCAGATCCTCTTTCAATCCAGCGAAGCCACATGACACCGCCAAAACCCTGATCTTACATCCTACGAGCCCCTGCGCAGCCCCGGGCAAAAGATCACGAACCTCTGAAACCCCTTTGCCAATCCCTAAGGGTCCATGTACCCAAATAGTATATACTTTGGCCTTAAAGTCGTCCTTACATAGGCACTTTAGGGCCAAAGTATATACTATTTGGGTACACGGACCCTTAGGGTTACACATTTTTCGTGCCGTTTCCAGCTGGGCCGCGCCTCGATACCGAGATGCTTGGCCGCTGCCTGGATGCGGTCGACCTCACAGCGAACGTCTCTCAGAAGGTACAGACCCAGAGAGCCCAACTACCCCTTAATTAAGGAATAGCTTAAATTATAGGGGCCTTCATATTATGATTTAAGGTCTATTCCTTAAATTAAGGGGTCTTGGGCTCTCTGGAAAAATGGCTCTGAAAAAGGGTTTCTGAATTCAGGGTCCAGCGCTTCGGGGTTTCGTTTTACAAAAACTTCGAAGGCCCGGCCGAACCTAAACCCTAAACCCTACACCCTGAACCCTAAACCCTGAACCCTAAACCCTAAACCCTGAACCCTCTCTTGCGGCCGCAGCCGAAGTCAAAAGCACGCTGGACTTCAGACCTTCCCAAATCCTTCCTTTAAGGCATATACCTTAAATCATATATTACCCTAAGGGTCCATATCTACTACTATTATGGGATTAGGTCCTCAAAAACCATACTATGAATGGTCTTTTGGGACCTAATTCCATAATGGTCGTATATGTGGAGCCTCTTGGTTAGGGATCCTGCTATGATTTAAGGTATATTCCTGAACTACGGGATATTGGTATACTAACAGGGTTCTAGTAAAGAGGCGCTGGTAAGAAGAGTAATTAGGACATCGCCTGGGGGGATTTTGAACCTTATGAATAGGGGTATGACTACTCGTCAGCTCCTGACCTCGACGACATGTCCTACATGCACACCATGTAAATGGACCATGCGCTGGCCAAAAACCCGATGCAGTTGCCGAGGTGTAGTGCCTGCCAGCAGTGGCCTGCGGCAAGCAGCAACATTTCAAAAGTCCTCAACCCCAAACCCCTGAAACATTGGCGTTGGGCCGCTAATTAGCACATCAACCAGGTATTGTGCAGCCCTCTCCCCCCTCCCATCCCCCTCCCCCTGTCCCCTCCCTCCCTCCCCTCCCCTCCCCCCTCCCTCCCCCTCCCCTCCCCTTCTCTCCCCCCTCCCGCTTCCCCTCCCTTGCCCTCCTAGCATGCCGTGGTACTGAAAAAAGCAGCAAAACCTAAAGCCGGAATGAAACCCCGAAAAAAGACAAAACACTCAGCTCTATAGAAGTATCCCTAAGTTTTCCAAAACCGAACTAATATTAAAACATCTCAGGTTGCGACCACCGGCTGCACAATGGCATCTTGCACCTGCCGCCACATGAAGCGGAGTTAGGGTTTTCCATGTTGGTTTTGTCGTGCCACAAGGTTTCTTCGTCACTGAAGGGCTTGCATTTCGGCTGCAGATTGAGGGCTTCTGGGGTAGTGTAGACGGGAGTTTGTCAACCATGGTAAGCTCTTGAACTTAGAAGCCCGACCAAACACAGCTACTTCTCTTTACTCCCCGTGAAACCAACCCCAAAATTCCAAAGCTCAAAGTCCAGACCCAGAATTCCTCAAAGCTTGGCTTTAAAATAGGGCTTAAGGTTTTGCAGGGGATATAGGGTTTAGGGAGGGCTATAAGGCATGGGTTTTTAGTGCTTTGAAGACACAACCTTCGCCGCGGCCATGAACAGAAAGCTTGGGCTCATCATGCTGGGCCCACACCGATGCCCGTCTTTCCAGGGGCATTCTGCACGAATTTAAGAAGATCTGCGCAGTAGCAAAGTACGCCGACACCTTAAAGCCTTAAGCCCGTAAAACTCTGGATCGAGAAACACAGCTACGCGTTCGTCGCCTAATCCTGCAGATGGTCAGGGTTACCCCAGGTCACGATGGATCCATCACCAATAATTGCTGCAAAAGCGCCGGAAGTTGCTTGGATTTGCTGCACATTCTTGAGCTGATCCCGCACAGCACCACTGTCACCGCCAAAGTCTCCAAGTCCCCATGTCGCCATCGATCCATCACCAAGAACAGCGGCAAATGCGAAACCCGTAGCTTGGATCTGCCGCACATTCTTCAGCTGATGCTGCACAGCACGATTGTCACCACCACGGTCAGGATCACCCCAGGTCACGACGGATCCATCACCAAGAATGGCTGCAAAAGAGCCGCCTGTAGCCTGGATCCCCTGCACATCTTTCAGCTGATGCTGCACGTCACTACTGTCACCACCATGTGAATGCCCGCCCCAGGTCACCACAGATCCATTCCCAAGAATGGCAGCGAAAGCGTCGTCAGTGGCTTGGATCTGCTGCACAGACTTGAGCTGATCCTGCACCGCAATGCTGTCACCCCCCTGCTGAGCATGACCCTAAGTCACGACGGATCCGTCAGCAAGAATGGCAGCAAAAGCGCAGGCGGAGGCTTGAATGTCTTGCACGTTCTGTAGCCGATCATGCACAGCTCTGCTATCACCGCCATGGGCAGCCCCACCCCAGGTCACGACGGATCCGTCGCCCAGAATGGCAGCAAAAGCATGCTTCGAGGCTTGGATCTGCTGGACATTCTTGAGTCGATCTTGCACAGTGCTGCTGTCGCCACCATAGCTAGCAACACCCCACGTCACAACAGATCCGTCGCCGAGAATGGCAGCAAAGGCGCACTTGGTGGCCTGTATCTGTTGCACAGTCTTCAGCTGAAGCTGGACGGCACTACTATCACCACCGCTGGACGCACTACCCCAGGTCACCACAGATTCTTCGCCGAGAATGGCTGCAAAAGCACTTGCATTGACCTGGATCTGCTGCACATTCTTCAACTGATGCTGCACAGCACGACTGTCACCACCATGGGAATGCGCGCCCCAGGTCACCACGGATCCATTCCCAAGAATGGCAGCAAAAGCGCCGTAAGAGGCCTGGATTTGCTGCACGTTCTTGAGCTGATCTTGCACCGAACTACTGTCGCCGCCGGAGCGAGTACTACCCCAGGTGATCACGGATCCATCGCCGAGAATTGCGGCAAAAGCATCAGGAGCGGCTTGGGTTTGAACCTGGTATACATGCAGGGTCAGTGTGTCACCATTCTGAATCCCGGCTGTCTGGATGGCTGCACATGCATCCAGCACCCTTCCAAATGAGTCCAGCAGCCGCCCTTTTCCGACTCCCAGGGCAACCTCTGCTCGACGCTTCAATGCTTCTACGTCTTCCTGCCACGAGGCTTGCACAGTGACGCTGTTGCCACTGAGCAGCCCAACTTCCACAGCAATCGACATGCATCAGACGAAACATGGCACAGCGGTGCTGTAGATAGGGTCAATCAATCTATATATATATATAGATATAGATAGATAGATAGATAGATAGATACATGTAAACATACACATATATATACACACACATACATACATACATACATACATACATACATACATACATACATACATACATACATACATACATACTATGTATCCATTTGTATCTCTATATATATATATATATACACACATACATACTGTATGTATGGACCCCTACGGTTTGGGACTCAGAGTTTTCTGTCAGAAGACTTAGGTGCAGTCATTACCTGACAATTGCAGGTGTCAATACCAGGACATGGACATGGAGCAGCCAAACTGAACGGTTTGGTGAGGGTTAGGAATGGTTGTTATGCGGTTTTGCAGCTGCTGTTACTACTCCCAAGAAAGCTGCGCTTCTCATAAAGATGACGGTGCTGATGACGATTGCAATCTTGCTGCCTGTAGGATTCCTTATACCTGCCCTCGCATAATTTCAGGCACAATCCGAAATTGCATGAAAATGTGCTACTATTCTTGGCCAAAATAACAACCATAGCATAAGCCCTCTACCCTCAACCCTACAAAGTATGATGCCTCTGGGGGTTCTGGAAAGGGTAAGTAGGCTAAGACTCGCTCCTGCCTAGATCGGACCGGGGAAAGCAAACGT